CACTAAGTATCCTATTTAGACATGTCTGAATCACGTATGGGGGGCTTAAAAATAGAAGGACAAGCATTGAACGGCGGTACGAAATAGAAAATTTTGAATTCGGCGAGTCACCGCGGAAGGGAGAAAGAGAAGGAAGAAAACGTGACTAACCGAAACAGTATGTTAGCTACTTGATATACCCTTGCGTAGTCTTCCATGCCAACTTCTGATCGACGATCCTATGTCAAGCTTTGATTGGTTGACGCGATCTGTGTCCAAGGTTGCTGAGCGATGGTAACGTAGGGGATGTAACAAAACTAAACATTGAATGGGAAAAGTGTAGAGATAGGTCACTCCTAACAGCACCAACCTGACATTTGTCTATATGCTGATCAAATTGGCCGATGTATTTCAACAGATCGGGGACCAGCTGATTATCCAAAGTTCTATCTACAAGATCCATCCGAAACGTGTAAGGTTGATCCAAAAGCCAATGAGATTCCCTTGCCTGCATAAGGAATGGCGATAAATAGTTATGAATAAAAAAATAGGGAAATAGAGGCAATATGGCAATTTAGCAAAGAGGTTAAGTAGTGGCAGTTATTGCTGAAAAAATAAGAGTTTGTCCAAAAGGGTAGGCGAAGACGAATTATTAACTCCGGTATCAGTAAATGACAGTTAATTTAACCAGATTTATAGATTTGGGTTGCTTGACCTGGAGACAAAAGCCGTACTCCAGCTTACGTTGAAAACATTTGAGATCATGTGCTATACGGTATGCTCAAAACGAAATAGAAATCGACATGAATACAATCTAAAAAGGCCAGAATTGCTAAAATACATGATACACAATACATGGCGATGGCATGCTGCAAAAATAAAAATAAAACTGTAAAATGCTTAGCTAGATAATTCTATTACAGGACATCTGCCATTCCTGCAAAAGCATGTTAGCATTAAAGCAACCCGAGAACAGATATTAGTTGGTAATAAGTTAGTCATCAAGAACTTTCCTGGAAGCTTAGGATTTTATGCTTGAGAAATCTATAAGTAATGACCAAGAGGATAGCTGATGTTGCCATTGCTATAATGCTTCAATTTTTACGACAAATGACGACCATGAAGGTCGCCTGTACAAAGCATAGCCCAAGGAGAGAAGACATCTTAAAAAATCATTTCATACGAAATAAAAATGAATGAAGAAGGTTGTTACTCGCCTCAATCTGAGTCTTGATCCCGACCAACTCATGACAGGCCAGCAAGTAAGGCTTTAGGCGGAACAGACGCAATCGGAGGCTGGCTACGCGGCGAGCCAATGGTTGATGTCTATACCAGGATTCGGGTACGCGAAACTGATGATGTGACCAAGCGTAGTCTAACCAAAGGAGAGCTGAGCGCGAGACCTGGACGAAGTAGAATGGATAAAAAAGTAGTGGTGATTTATCGAAAGTTCACTGCTCTATCGGCGTAGAACTCCGCCTCTAAGCAAAACGTATATAGCCGACTCTCGAGTTCGCCATGATAAATGTTGTAAAAATATACCAGGCCCCTGCCTGTTTTCAAATTAGTCTAATCAGCCACTTAACTATTCTACTGAAAGATAGCATTCAAAAGTTATTGCGTATGAAAAAGAAGTGTTTGGCTAAATGTTGAAAGTTCTTGTTGTCACCTTATTGTACTGTTCCTTTGAATATTTTTACAGACTTCACTCCAGATTTCCTTACCCTGGAACGACTATAGATTGACATAATAATCGTCAAGATTGAACTTGTGGTCCCTGAATTTTATGATTTGGCATGCCTTCCAAGAAATGTATTGAAGGTCATCAAATGCCTTAATATAAGTGTTTAAGGAGGGAATAGTGTTGCTCTATTTTTACATGATCAGATTGCTCAAAAGGTTTTTACGAACAGCCATAAATAAGCAATTGGGAATCAGATAAGAGCTGGGCTATTTAAGCCTCCGTTAAGACTGCCGATAGTTGGTAGGAATGAACTGAA